CGGATGCTCCCGGCATCCTGGCACTGCGGGGAGCGGGAAGGGCCACCCCGCAGCCACCTCCTCTCCAAGGAGCTGCCCCTCCACGCAGAACAGCCCCGATGTCCCCACCAAGGCAGCATCCCGCTCCCCACGCTGAGCCTGGCTTGCCCAGGGCCCCGCGATCCGGAGGGAAGAGCCAGACCCTCCGGCAGCCCCGGGGGCAGGGGAGCAACAGGGCAGGAAGCGCCCGGGGCGCCAGCCGCCCTCTCCTCCCCTCTGCTCGAGGTTGGTCCTCGCGCAGGGGGTCGGGACGTCGCCGGTTGTGACGAATAGAGGACGCCAATCCCCGGGGCTGCCAGCCCAACACCAAAACAGCTTTAAAGAGGAGCTTTAAAGGGTTAGGAGGGGGGTCCCCAGGCAAACCGCAGATGTACTTAACAGTCAGAGATGAAGGACCGGCTCAAAGACCCGGCTGCTCCATAACGGCACCGCTCCCAACAGTGCAAAACAATTAGCTACAAGGTTTTGGCTCTGTTTGAAAAGCTAATGAGTTGGGAATGTTCGAGGGGTTATTCCGGGACTAGGAAAACAAGCCCTTAATTGGGCCCATATGAATAATGTCACATACGCACTGCGACTTTGCTGTGGGGGAGCCCAGCTAATCGGGATACCGGGAGGCTGGGAAAGCTGCTGGAGCTGGCGAGCACGCGCCCTCCAGGCGTCCCGGCTCCAACCTGTGTCCCCACACCTTCCCGCATGGCTGCTGCTGGGGACATCCTTATCTTGAAGCCCTCTTGTCCCAAACAGAGATGGCTGCAGGACACGATGGTTCCCAGGGCGCTTGGGGAGTTTTGGGGGTTTTGCTCCATCAGTGCCACGCTGAGGCTGTGCCGTTACCTGCCCTGCGTCCACCCCGCGCCGGCAGTGCCCGTTCCCAGCCGCGCGGTCCCGGTGGGATGTCAGCCCAAGCCGAGAGGTCGGAGCAGTCACCGCACACAGCGGTTTCCTCTGGGAGAGGATCCGTGCCGGGGCTGTGTCAATAAACAGGCGCTGCCCCAAGCGGCCTCGCGGCGAGGGGAGGCAGGATGTGGGGGCCTGAGCTCGGTGTCTTCAACACTTGCAGTAGCGGGGAGTATTGCAAGTTCATGGGGCCTTTTTTTCAGGATGGTCGCTGTAATTGGTCAAGTTCTGTTCAGTTCCTCCAAGGAAGGGAGGATCCATGAATAGCCTATGGCCACAGCCATTTAAATCACATATCCTCGTTCCAGGAGACACCTGAGGAGCTTCCTGGAACCACCTATGACTGCAAGGTCACCAATGCTCTGGGCTCCTCCCAGGTCATGCTGTTATCTTGTCGTAAATGCTACAGCCACGGTTGTTACGGGCCCATTGATCCGGTGCAAGTCCAGTGCTCTGCACCGGAATGGTTGAAACCTCTCCGAGAGGAGAGGCTTAAAGGAGGATAATCTAATTAGTGCCAATCAACAGCATGCAGGTAAACACAGGTCTTGTCTAACTCATTCGATATCTTACTTAATAAGATCCCCAGGCATCCACACCGGACAACCGAGAAGACATCTGACTTGGGACTGAGCAAGAGAAACGGGCTGACAGGAGACACGCTAAGCGGTTAAAAAACCCAATTACGGCTGCGCTGGCAGCAGGAACGCGAACCAGGGCTCGTCCCGGGCCATGTCCCAAGGGGAGCTCCGCAGCGGCCACCTCGGGCTGCTCCCCAATAGCCAGGGTGAAAGCGCTAAGATGGTGAGAAAAAATAATGTGCAGCTGGGACAAGAATGGGGAACGGCAGGGAGGAGAAGTCAGACAGCACCACGCTGGGCACAAAAACAGCCTTTTCAGCATGCCAAGATAAATTCTGAATCTACGAAGAAGAGTCCTGGCTACGTTTGTGGAGGACACTCGGCTCAGGAAGGGGATTGGGGTTGGTAATGGAGGCTGGACACAAGCCGGGAATGCGGACACGGCCTTGGATGTGCTCGTAAGGCACAGGCTCGAGCAGGGAGGTCTGTGGAGCCGCGCGAATCCCTGCTGGGACATCCAGGACAGAGTCTGAGCAGCTCCGAGGGCCTGTGGGAGAGCTGGAGAGGAGCTGCAGGAACGGCAGGGCCTGGAAAGCAAACCCTGGAGCAGCGACAACGGCAGACGGGGAGATGAACCAGTTTCCGTGGCTGGGAGCAAAAGAGGGGAAAATTCAGGCTCAAAGTTGCCTGTGGCCGTGGTGGGGACGGGACGGCAGCTTGCAGTAGCGATGCCAGTTGCAATCAGAGCATCTGCATTCCAGCTCAAGCATGAGCAAATCCAGGGAAACCCAATGGGCTGTGTTGGAGGTGTCAGAGCGGTGACTGGCAGGCTCCTCCGGTGCCACTTCTCAGCCCCGTCCAGGAACAGGGAGCAGACATGCGGTTGCTCGCATGGGGCTGGGAAAGGGCCCGACTCCTGCACGGACCCTCCACCGGCCGCCCCGGGGACACGATCCTGGAGGGACCCGGGACTATCGCTGCTGGTAGCGGCTCTCCCAGTGGAAGAGCCTGCCTCTTGCCCCATAAACATCCATTTTCAGTTAAAACAGCCAAAGAGCCTTGGACAAACTGCAAAGGCTCCACCTTGGGTGGGATGCAGCCCAGGGGGGCAACCTTGGCCACCAAGGAGCATCAGACTTCATAAACGCTTTCAGAATCATGTTTTCACCCTCACCCAGCCTGTCCCCATAGGAGACCTGGCTTCGCTCCTGGGCTCTGTCCCCACCACCAGCCATGGGGCTGGGCAAGGGGCATCTCCCTCCTCGCACCCCTCAGAGCCCAGGGCAGGAGGACGAGGGAGTCCTGCCTAAACCCAAACCCGCACCGAGAGCCACGGGGCACAGGAGCATCCCCAGGAGAGCACCCAGCACCCGCATCCACCCCAGGGCATCTCCCCCCACGGCGCTGCCCTCGCGGGGGGCCCGGCCGCACTCACCCAGGTGCAGGGTGATGTTGACCGAGTTGGGGTGCTGGATGCCGAAGGCCATGGACTGGCTCTGCCACCAGGTGCTCTCCTCCTCGCTGTGGAAGTCGGTGAGCAGCGAGGCGTTGTGGTGCAGCCGGGGGTCGGCGGCGTCGCAGCGGTGGCACAGCTTGGTGGCGTCGCGGGCGCCCATCTGCAGGCAGAAGTCCTCGGGCGGCGATCCGCACGTGTTGGTGGCGCGGGCGGCGCGGGCGAAGGCGGCAAAAAAAACGCGCCGAGCGCGGGCGGCCGCGCCATGCCGGGGCTCACCGTGCACTGAGCCTCCTGCGGACGGGATGCGATGGGATGGGATGGGATGGGCGGGATGGGATGGGCCCCCCTGCGCCGGCACCTCCTCTTGCTCCGAGGTCCATCTTGTGGAAGCTGCTGGAAATGTCCAAAAAATGTCATTGTCAGTCCCAAGCTGCACAGTTTGAGCCTGGACTCCCCCCAGCCCCAATGTCCCATGTGTCCTCATGCTGTGGGGCTGGGCAGGCTGCAGACCCCCCTGGCAGGACACGTGCCAGCCCCGCGGCTCCAGGGCTGGGGCTCAGCACTGCAGTGTCACAGCCCCTGGATCGAGCACATGGGCTTTCCCTCAAATCACTGGGACTCATTTTGGCACCCACGCTGCCAAAATTGGGATGGGGAGGCTTGGAACTAGACCCGCCATGGCCTGAGCACCCTCTTCTCACCCTGTGCTGACCCACAGGTCTGTGAGCAGTGCCCATGAGTGGGGGGTCCCTTCCCTGCCTGCCTCTTTGGGGCCAGACACCTCAGCAGCGCTGAGGACTTGTCCCCAAGAGGCATCTGCAGCAGGTAGCACAACTCGAGTGGCACCAAAGCCCCTTCGTGGCTTGCAGGGTGATGCTAATCGCACCCAGGTCCAGGGCATTGCCCTGGCACCCTCCATTCCAGCCCAGGATCGGATCCAACAGCAACAACCTCCCGAGGAGCCGATACTGTCCCCAGATCCACCTGCCATGGCCGGGGCAGCGGCGGCAACGCCCGCACACGCTGCGGGGAAAAGCTCCGGCGGGGAGCTGTGAATCAGAGGTCCGGGGCAGCGGCTCCTGCGGCGCTGCCGTTTCAAAGCCCCATTAACATATATTGACCCAGGCTCTGACAGCCAGAGCCAGCTCCGCCGGGAAGGGCGCATTTCCCAGCGCCGGGGAGCTCTGCATCAGCTCTCTGGGAGCGAGCGGCCCCCGGCAAACCCGCTGTCACATTTTGGGGAGGATGGGGAGGGTTTTGGTTGAATAATCGCCCTGCACATCTCCACCACCAGCTTTAAAGGGAGCAGGGAGGAAGGGGTGTCACATCCTGCCCCAACAGGGCTCGTGGGCAGGCTCAGTGTTTTGCTTCCTCCCTGGTGCTGAGGCTGCAAAGTGCCTGGCTGGAAAGGGTCTCCCATGTTTTACGGCTTTGCCACCTTCCAGGGGGCATTTCTCCATGCTGTGCACACCAGACAGCCCGTATCTGGCCCCATCCTTTCCCTCTCCAAAGAGGGGTCCAGCTGAGAGAAGAGGAGGTGAACAGACCACACAAGGAGGACTCGGTGCCTTGGGAGGCTTGAGCAAAGCCAGTGTGGCTCAGTCTGCATCTCCATACTCTGAAGAGCATCCATCACCCAGAAGGCTTTTTTTGTTGCTCAAAGACCCACCATATTGCTGGCAGGGACAGCAGAGGCCACAAGACTCAGAAACGAGAGCTAATCTACCTCCAATGTCAGGAAACCTCCTCCTTTCATGTTCTCCCCCAAAGCCCACCCTGACACAAGGGGACAGCAGATGTGGTCAGACCTGGGCAGGAGCTGGTGGTGACCAGGTACCACATCCAGCAGCAGCAGCTGCTCATGACAGCCCATTTCGGTCACAGCCTTCCCCCACGAAGGACAAGGGAGAAACCACGTCTAACCCCATCCCCCAGGAGAAGGGGCAGGAATAACCCCCATAATCTCCTTTTCTGCAAGGATAGGATATCCGGAATCAGCTGCCCTTGGTTTCAGGCACCTTCCAGGTTTGGCTTCTCACAACGAAGCCTTCAAGCACAGCCCTGCTGTAGGCAACCACCATCCCCAGACGGAGACGCGCGACCAGTTAGTTACAAGCAGCTCCCTCGCCTCTCCCGGACATGAAAGACCTTGAACACGGATGCTCAAAAGAGCGATCGAAGCCGGGATTCGCCCCCAGCTCCTCCAGCAGCTGGAGCCTTCTGTGCTGGAGAGGTTTTGTCCCCTGCTCTGGGAACAGGGGGACCCCCTCGGGGTGCAGGCCTGGAGGAGAGGAAGCGCAGGGAGCACCAGGGAGCCTTGGCCACGCTGGCACGGGGCGACACGAACCTGGCACCTCGCAAGGGTTAAGAACCTTGCAGGCGGCGAGGAGAAAACGTTCTTCTGATTTGCTTAATGAACGTTAATTAAGAAGACAGAAGATAGCAGATTCCTTCAGGGTAGAGATGAAAGGCCTGTTAATTAAATCTGGAGAGGGAGAGCAGGACCGACTGATCCTCCTGCTGATCAGAGCTGACAAGGCGGGCACGGAGGCAGGAACGAGGTGTGCGAGAGCGGCACAGGCCCCTTTTCCCCAGCCCCAGGCGAGGAGAGCGGCCGGCGCGGAGCTCGGTGGCCGATCTGCAGCATCAGAGGGGACTTGTTGCCATCCACAGCATGGTCGGGTGGGAAGGATCCCTTTGGGCAGCCGGGACCTGCTTATTTTCCCCCCTTGGCCTGCTGGTCTGTGTTATTCTGCACTGCATGGGCCAGAGGTGGGGCAACCTGCCCGATTCCTGCGCTCCTTCGGCAATGGTGATGCTGAGAGCAGAGCAACTCCAGCTGCCGAATGGCTAAATCCAGCAACACGGAGCCTCCTGCCATGACCACGTTGCCTGCGGGTCACCTGCCACCTTCCTCCCATCACCACCTCTCCCATCATCACCCTTGCAGAGGGACAAGTAGCCGCACGTCCCCGAGGGCTCACCTGCCTTTGGGGACCCGCTAACGGAGACGGGTGCAGGGGTGTCTGCAGCTGGACAGAAACCTCCGGAGCTCTCCCGGCCCGGCTGCTCCGCTCCCCGGCCCGCTGCTTTGGCACACGTGCTCCCTCATCAGCATGGAGCAGGCAGCTTCCCCCGTGAGCTCTTTATTAAAATGGGCTTTTCTGCCTGTAGCTCAGATGCAGAGAGGCCGTCAGGCGCTAACCGGATTCTGCCAGCAGCCCGGCTGCCGACCGCGTGCGCCGCTGCCGCCACGCCGGCTTTTAGCCACACTTGCTTAAAAGCAGCCGAGCACCCCAAATTGCACCCTTGGAACAGCGGCACTGGCAGCGCTGCCTTCCTCCCATGATGGGCCGGGCCGCGTCCTCGGGGGCAGCGGGTCCAACGCGCTGCCTCCCCCTCGGGCTCCCGCTGCAGCCGCATCCAAGACGGGATTAGAGGCAGGGTGGGACTCCATCCGCATTTCAATGCGCCGCAATCAGCACAGCCACAAAGTCCTCCTGCCATCAGGGCACAGGGAGGCACGTGAGCATCCCGTGCTGATGTGGCACCCCCTGCGCCCGTTCAAGGAGGGCCAGCGCTGCACAGATCCTCATGCTCTGCCAGCGAGTGGTGCCACTAGCTGCATGGCCCTGGGCTGGTGTCCCTGGGCTCTGTGCACTGCGAGGGACAGAGGCCGGGGCACATTGCACCAGCGTTGGGCCAAGGCTCTGCGGAGCAGCAACCAGCACGTGCCGTGGAGATAACGCCTGGAGTGGCTCTCTCTGTACTGGCTTATTTTGTAAACCTGAACTTTGCAAAATGTCATGGAACGGAGAAATGGGAGGCTAGGGATAAGTAAATCTCTATTAGAAATTCCCCAGGACGGCGACAGTCATGTTCTGCCTGGGCGATGGCACATTAGAGCACAACCTCGGCTCGGCAAGCAGGGTCATGTGCAGCTCTGATTACAGAGAGCATTTAATTAACGCTGCCATAAACACAGTGCAGGCGATGCCAACTAGCCACGCTGGGGCCGGACGCTGCAGAGCTGCACGGAGTTAAGCCAAGGCAGGACAGAAAGGAGAGGATGAGGGAGGGCAGAGAGAAACCTGGCAGATTCTGCCCCCACAGAGCTCTTACCTGGGCAGAAAAGCCACATCCTGGCTCCAGGACAGTGAGATGGGGTGAGGCAGGAGCATCGCCCCAGAGCAGATGTCCCTGCATGGAGCTCATGGCCTTGGGACCGCAGTGACCCAGCACAGGTGACTGCTGGGCTGTGGCTGTCCCCAGGGCACACACTCCATCCATGTCCTCGAGGATGGGGACAGAGCCACGGGGCAAGGAACAGCCGGGTCAGCCATGGACCAACAGGTTTCCAGCAGAGCCAGAAAGCCCCTTTGCCCAACCAAGCTCATCCCCAGCTTAATGATTCCAGCTAAAAAGCTACCACTCCCTAATTGCTCATCACATTAGGCTGCTCACAAGTGAGGCCAACCAGCACAGATCTCCTCCAAGCCTTTCTAATTAACTAGCAGGCACTTAGACCCTCCTGTCCCACAAAAGCAGCATCTCAGCTAAAACCAGCAGCCAGCCCCACTGGCCACCCTCCCTCCCCTTATAAACCCTCCTAATGGGCTTGCTGGTGTAACCTGAGGCTACCTCGTTTGCTAACGAGTCTCATCTGCCTGGCCTCCCCTGCTACCCTACTCTGGCTGGGCACAGGGCTGCCCATCCATCTGTCCGATGTCCATCTGTCCAAGCCTACATCATCCATCCGTCCATCCCACCTTCCATATCTCCATTTACTTGTCTGTCCGTCCATCCATCCATCCACCCCGATGGTGGCAGGAGCTGCTCCAACGGGACCCCCGATCTGTCTCCGTTTGGGATGTTCCCGGCACAGCTGCTCCCATGGCTCTTCCTCCACTTTTCCTCCAGACCCTTGTGGGTGCTGGGAGCAAACTTGGAGCCTGTGCCCTGTCTCCAGTAGCCCACTGGGGACCCGAGCGCTGCTGGTGTCCCCCATCAGGAGGATAAATGATGGCTAAGCCAGCGGCAGAAGCTTCCAGATGGTCACCCCAACTGGGCACTGAGCTAAACCGATCACCCGGGTGGACACAGGAGCCCCTTACAGCTCATTTGCTAAGTGACTTCCTTGGTGTGTGTTATCCAAACCTCGACCATGCAGGGCTGGAGCAAGAGCAGGGATGGGGAGAGGGACATGAGCTTGGGGCAACCGGCTGCTGCTCCATGAGCCGCATCCAGAGCGTCTCCGAGCCTGTGCATCGGAAGCATCAAAGCCCCATCACTGTGATGAGCTGCAAGTGCTCAAGGCTTGGCTGGGGCAGCTTCCCCAGCCCTCTCCCTGCCCTCCTTCCCAGCAGTGCCAGGAGAAGGTCCAATTTACTCCGTGACAAACCAGACATCGCTGTGACACCTCTGCCTTTAAACCGGCAGAGAGAACCCGTAATGGGATCCACCTCGGTTTTCCACTGCCAGGCGTGTCGCTCCGGGCCGCCGCTCTGGGTCTGATTTAATATTCTCACGGCAGACGCTGCCCCCGATCCAATTTCCACGGGGATTTCGGAGCAGGCAGCCGCTGAGCCACGGGCCGACGGTGCCACTGCTCCCTGTGCTGATGTCTGGAGCTGGGACTGCTCCAAAGGGGCTCGGACACTGGAGTCGAGTTTCCCATCCCCATCCAGGGGCCGTGCTGGGGCCTGGACCCACTAGGAATCACTGCTGGGAATCAGGAATACTGGGAGACACTGGGTGCTTGCAAAGGACCCCGAGTCCATTCCCAGCAGGATGGCAGAGCAGCGCTGCAGGCCGGCTCTGCAAATAGGAGATTTCCACTGAGAAGGACCAAAAATCCCTCTGTTTTGCCCTCAGATGCTGCTGCTGTGAATCCCCCTCCAGCCGCGGGGGCCGAGCGCTCCCGCAGCGGTTGTCCCCATTGGCTGGCACAGCAAAGTGCCCTCGGAAAAGCAGCGCTGGTTATGTTGGCTGGCATATGAAATGTTGCTTTAATTGTATTTTATTTGGCAATAAGAAAATAGAAACAGCAACAAACCCGCAAGATATTCTCCTTCCCCCCTGCTTCAAAATTTCAATTCAGTGGGTTTAAGACCAGAGTTTAGACAAAGCACAAGAAAATATGTTTAAGAGAATTGCTTCGTCCTTTCCAGGGGCACACGATCTTGGGACAGATTTCCCAAGCCCCTAAATATGAAGACAGTTTAAAAATATTTTTATTCATAGCCGAAGAAGCAGCTGGGGTGAGGGGTTTTGCTCGGTCCCGGTGGGCTCCGACGCAGCCTCCGTGGGCACCGCAGGTGCTGAGGCCGCCGGCCGGGTTCGGGCGAGCGGAGGCTGGATTGGGAGTTGCTAGGAGACATCCAGCTTTTAGGATGCCGGATGCTCCGAGCTGCCAACGGCCAGGCCGGTGGCACCGTTCCCAGCTGGATTTGGGCTTCCTGGGGCGAGCGCGTTGGGGCGGCTGCCTGCCCGGACGCAGGGTGCCAGGGATGCTCCGCATGGCGCCTTCCCGAGCTGCCCCTGCCGTTTCAATTAAGCCGCTGAATTAATCACTCGCAATAAAGCCCGGTGTTATTGCTCCTTGCATGGGGACGCATAATCACCTTTCCTGGACGCACAGCGATTAAACGGGAACGCTTTGCCGGAGCTTCAGCCGGCAAAGGGGCTCGGGAGAATCCCCGCGGCCTCCCCTTCCCTGCTCACACTCCTCCAGATGGCCCAAGCGGCCGGTCGTCATGCAGGAGAAGGCTTTACATTAAAATCCCTCCTGGATTTTTTTCTTTTTTTGCTGCCTGTTTCATTTTTTCCTCCCTTGCCTTTGGAAGCCGCAGCCCATTTGCCGTCATTAGCTGTAGATGGCGAGGCAGAGCGCGGCCGCGCAGCCGGAGATGACGGGCGGCCGCGGTGGCAAAGTGGTGCCCAGCGGTGAGCCTGGCTCCGAGCCCCCGGGCAGCCGGCACCGAGCCCCTTCCAGACCACGGGAGGCCCGGGGGGGGCGTGAAATTGCTGCCCCCCCCCGCCAAGCCGTGCAAATGGCCCCTCATCAGCCCCCCGTGCTCTCGGATACCGGCGCTTGGGATGCTCAGCCGGCCTGAGCGTGCAGGGTTGGGGGGCACAAGCCTGGGGAGGGGAAGGGGTTTTGGGGGCAGGATTCGCACCCCGGGCACCGCTGAACCCCTTCCACCGCAGCGGAGGATGCTCCATCCGTGCGCCAAGGTCTTCCCTTCTCCCAGGGTGCACGCGAGCAGCCGGCTCCAGCCCCGGGCAGAGCCGCGAGGCGGGAGCCGGGATGGATCCCAGCCTCTGGCTGGCGTGCGGGGCACTCGGGCTGCCAACTTTTCCCAGCAACGGCGGATTACGGCAAATCAGCTCCAATCAATATTCCTCTGTGGAAGAGAAACAGCGAGCAGGGAAAAAAAAATAAAAGAAAGGAATAAAAGCGGGGGTTGCAGCTAGGGGCAGTGGGAGTTGCTGCGCTCACAGGGGAAGGGACCCAGCAGTGCTGGGCACGGAGCGGCCGGCGGGGGGGACAGCCGGGACCTGAACCGGGACCAGAACAGGGGCCGGCTCCTGCAGATGGACTTGGGGCCCAGCGAGCGCCCGCGAGCGCTGCCCGCGTTGGGAACTCCCCAGCCAGGCGCAGGGCAGGGGCCACGGGGTGGAGGGGGCTCCGTGGGGCTACTTGCCAGGAGGCTCACGTGCCTCCTCTGCATGCAGCGCGCCCGGCCGCGACGCGGGGCCGCGGCTCTCCCGGGAGCTGCCCTTTCATTATTAATACGATGATGATGCCTGACGCTGCGGGCGCGCGGCGGCCACGGGGCGCGTGGCCAGGGAGGGAGAGCGGGCGCCGCCGCTCGGGGAGGCTCCGGCGGCCTCCCTGGAGGCGCTTTGCCCGCGAGACACTGCTGCCCTCGTCTGCTCCGGCCCCGGGATACCCTGGGGGACACGGATGCTGAAGGGCCCTCGGGGATGGATGAGCCCCATCTGCCGGGGTCCTGCTCCCTGGAGCGCTCCCATCCCGCTGGATCCCGGGCACTGCAACGCCGGGCGCTGTCTTGAGCTGCAGGATGGAAGTCGGCATCTTCAGAGAGAAAGAAAGGAAAAACAGAAAGCGCCTGGTTTGAGCGCGTGGATGTGATACGGGCTGGGGTGGGTCATGCGCTGCCCCTGGTGCAGCCCGTGCCCTGCGGCAGCGCCAGCGGACGTGCCAGGGCCGAGGCAGCCGCACCGAGCGCTGCAGCTCCCGCGGTGCCTCCCGGTCTCCTCGCATCCCACCGGCCTCCCGTGTCCGCCCCAAGGCCACAGCCAGGGACGTGCGTCACCCGCTCCATCTCCGGATGGATTAGGTGGGTGCAGAGCCCCGTCTCCACTCCGTGGCGAGCGCCGGGCGGGCGAGGACACTGCCCATCCCGCGTCCCGTGTGGGCTCCCCTTGAGCACCCGCTACCCTACGGCCCCATCACGTCACCGGGGCCGCTGCCCGAGGACGCTTTTCATGACAAAATTTTGAGGCTAAACACAGCCAGCTGCATTAGGGGTGAGCAGGGATGCGGGCGCAGGAGCGGCGAGGCCGGTGTCCCTGCAGCTCCATTGCTCCCTGCCCTCACTGGGGCCCCGTCCCTGCAGGGGAGCCTGAGGAACGGGCAGGGACAGGGCTAACCCTGCGCGCCCCGGGGAGCGCTCAAACCACGGACACCTCTATGGGGCTGTATGCCCCGTGCGTGGGCATTGCTGGGCCACGAGCCCTTGCTCGGAGCTGCCGCGGGCGTCCCAGCGCTGCCACGCGGTGCGGCCCGAGCTGCCCGTGCCGCTCGCCCCGGCCTCCACGATTACGTTATGGGCTGGTGTCAAGGTAGGTTGGGTTGCAAATTAAACGTCCGCCCGCTCCACGGCCCTGGCTCCATCTGCAGAAAATGAGTTGCTGGGCTTGGAGAGGGGCCAGTTGCTCAGCTCGGCGTGCCCAGCACCGCGGGCTGACAAGCCCACTGAATCACTCCTCCCCGCGCTGCCAGGCCGTGCGAAGCCAAGATGCATTTCTTTTTAATGATGAGTTTTTATTGTTTGGAGTTATGTTAAAATAACTTCGCAGGCGCTCCCGGCCTCCTGCTTCCAAAAAGGCAGAGCCAGCCAGGCTGGGTCTGGCTGCTTGAGGTGGGGGGACACCAAAAGATGCCACTGGTGAGATGAGTTGGACAGTCTCAGCCATGAAGGTCAATCCCTTAACACTGTCAGTGGGAAGGGAAAGGTGCTTCAGAACCTGGCAGCTCCGTGTAGAGCCACACAAAGCGATCCAGGATTAGGCAGGATCTGAACCCAGCCAGGACGTGCACAGGGACTCGAGCCTGGGGCAGGGATGCCCTCCGGCCCCGGAGCTGCCCTGCCCGCTGGCCCCATTCCTGGCATCCTCCTACCTCATCCCCAACGGGGCTGCGTGTCCTGGAGAGGGGCCCTGCCCGCGTGATGCTCCTGCCGGAGCCTCTCAGCAGCGCCGCTGCCTGCAGGTCACACAGCAGCAAACAAAAGATTAAAGACAGGAGCCTCAGAGGGACTGTAAAGGAAACCACGTCGGCCCCCGGCGCGGGGCAGTAAATCAGCGCGATCGGCGGTTCCTGCGCGGGAGCCAGCAGGTCCCCTGCTCCTCTGCACCGCACCGGTGTCCCCACACGTGTGGGCACGAGCCCTGCGGACCGGGGCTCCTGCCTGCCCCTCGTCTCCTTTCCACCCGGACATTGAGTTCTG